GTTGAGAGCTGATTCAAAGAAAGAGATCAATGTCACACAAGAAATTTGAAAAAAGCTTTAAAGAAATAGGAAGATTCTAATATTAAGGCAAAGTACACAACTAGTACTTCTCTCAAAGCCTTAGGTGATCCAGTAGATTGTCTCCAAAACCCAACTATAATATTTCATGTGACAAAAGAAGAAACTTATCAAATACATGACTGCAGTTAATGAAATTAAATTAGTTCTGTCTAGAATGCCCACTTTCCAAATACATTAGTCTCATCCAAGTACATTAGTCACAAGTGAAGATACAAATCTTCATCTCCCTACTTTCAAGATTCAGGAATATAACTGGGCTTTCTAGAAGAATTGAAAAATAAGGTTTTCTGAATCTACTGTAAGTATTTTATTTGGGATGCACTTACATCTACATCTCTAGTATTATTGTTGGTTATACAGTCAGCCACATGTTAAGACTGGATTTGGCATTTTTATCCACCTATTGAGTCCTTCACAAGAACCTAAGATAGACAGATATTATCTGATGGCGTCAAAAAAACCGTTTGAGGATGTAAGCTGTTCCAAGTAAAGTTGCCCTTTGACTGATGGGGATTTTGTTAATGCCAGTGATGTTCAAGTGGTGCCCAGATGTTTTGGGATTGCACCCAAGGTGCTTATTACTACTGATACTATTTTTGCTTTCTCTTGCAACAATTATTCTACTTTTATTTGCAGGACCTTGTATTTTGTGATTTTCTCCAGATCTTACTCTTCTAATTCTGCTGTCTGCAAGTTCTGCCACGTCCACTATACAGATTTTTTTGTCTTCCTTATTGACAATTGTTAAGTCTGGAATGTTATGTGGCAGGTGCTTGTCTTTTTTAATTCTAACGTCCCAGAGCACTTTATTAACTTTCTATACTACCTTTTTAAAATATAGAAATAACTCAAAGTGATGAACATCCTCCTTCCTTATTCCTCCCCCCAGCAACAAGTCACCTTGTTTTTAGTTTCAACATTCATTATGGCACCAAATAGACTCACTTAAATTAACTACCTTTCAAGAAAAAAATAGGTAACAAGGAATCATATTTATCCTTCTCTACTTTTCCTTTTTACATTACTTTATTGTCTGTTGAACTCAGCTTCTTAGTACTCCTTTACATGTGGCCACTCGCACTGGTGTCGCAGACGTTGTGGAGCATCTGATAAACAATGGTGTGGATGTCAATTCCCGTGACCGTGTAAGAAATACCTTTTTCTGACTGCTTGTTTTCTTAACATGTAACTTACATCTTAACCCACTTTTTAAGGTAAATGACCACAATTATATATATGCAAAGGATTTTGTAAGAATCATACTACCCAGATTTTTTTGTACAAGTGAAATATAAATGTAATATGAAGTTCATGCAAATATTTGCACTCAAACTCACAAATGAAACAAAATGAACAGAAAACTAAGCTTGAGAGAGATGTGCTATGGTTTTAGGATTTAAACATCTTCCTTTTGAAGTTTAATTTCAAATTCTCAATCTTAATATGCTTCTTTTTCTTGTCAAGGTAGTCAAGGAATTCTCTATTGTAACTGTTTCATATCGTCTTAGATATTTTCAACCTACAAAACACAAAATGAAATACTCTATTTCTACTTTCTGATTCCTAGTGCTAATAATATTCACCTATAATAATAGCAAACCTGCAATTTTATCTATCACAGATAGACATTATTCAGCTGACAGTATTTGTCTATTTCTTGTTATAGCTGACTCAGAAAGCTATATTCAGTGGCTCCAGGCTAATTTTTAATGCATTTTTAAAAATCTAGTTGTTTATTTGCTTCTATTTCTCCTGTTTGGGTACGATAAGCAAATTTATTTTGACTACCAATCTTACATATAGATCTAATTCCCATATAACACAGTTGTTGTGCAGTTTGTTTATTTTTGACAATGTAATTTATGAATTTTACTACAGTTGACTAGCATTATCCATGAATAAGTCATTACAGTTATTCAACAAACTGATTAAAAATATTAGCATTATATGTGAATTGTGTGGTATTGTCATCTCTCTACTGCAGGAGGGAGACAGTGCCCTGCACGATGCTGTACGCCTCAATCGCTACAAGATAATTAAGATGTTGATTTTGCATGGGGCAGATATGTTGGCCAAAAATTTGGTAAGTTTTTACTCACTGTGGCCTATACACTGGGTAACATCTGCAAATAAATCAATAGTAACAAAAATAATAGCAAAAGAAATGTGGTTTCTTTTTCAGATGCTGTCGACAAGTATTTAATAAATCAACAAATGCATACCCATGTTTTGAAGTAATGGAATGTTTTCATGTCAGTTTGGAGTTTGCCAAACTTTCTTATCTGTGTTTCTCCTACACAGGCTGGCAAAACTCCTGCAGATCTGGTGCAGTTATGGCAGGCAGATACACGGGAAGTGCTGGAAAAGAAAGAGCCAAACACAACAGAAATGCCAACATGAACCGTAGTTGGATGAACAAAGCAGACACCTGCAATTCGAAGCAAGAATGGTTTGAGATTTAAACAAATGAGGTCACAAAACCCCAATAAAGATGCAATCAAAGCAAAACAAAGCCAAAAAACAGTGAAAAAACAGCTATTTCTAATGTTTTGTTTAGTCAATCATAATGCTATTTTATCTTTGGCAACTGCATGATGAGATTAAATTCAATAGCTGAGAACTTTCCATTTTTCTCAAACAGGCATTGTGAAATTTCTGCTTGTCACACAGTTGTTAAAGGTCTGATAAACAACCACAATTCTGATATCCACTGAGTCAAATTGCACTAAGCTATTGATAATTCCCACAAGTTTCAAACAGCTGCATGATAATTAGTCAGATATGACACAGTTTCAAATGTGATTTCTGTGGGACTGCTTGCAGGTGCAGCTAATAAGGACATGAACATCTTTTAAAACTGACCAAGTAGTGAATAGCAAGAGAGACTCACAGCTTGAGAAACAACAGCCTTTCTGAGTACAGAGAAAAAAAAACATTCCATAAAGGAAGTGTAAAACATCATGTAAAAACACAACCCTATAGTCAATTTAGACACAGAACACTAAAGTTGAAAAGACACAAACATAGGCTAGAAGGTGAACAAAAAGACAACATTACATTTAAAACAGAGTACAAAAAAAATGTAATATGGATCCAGCCATCTGTTAAAATTATCTACCAATTACAGCAATGCACACCCTAAATATTAATTTAATTCATGTGCAGAGGGTGTCTATGCATACATTAACAGTACTGCAAAGTCTGACAACCTGGAGAACCTATCACATTCTTTCTAGAGTGTGAACCCAAGTATCAATTGGATGGCTGCCATGCGCTTGTCTGCTGGTTCTACTTTCCAAGTTGCATATTCACTTAAGAACAATTCACTTGAGGACATAGGACAACCTTTGCTTCTTTGGCAGAAATGTGGTTTCAATATTGCAGGGCAGACAAGGCCAAATTGGGTTAATAAATGGAGATCAGATCTGTTGTTCAGCATGCAAAATAACAGTCACTATTTTTTGCCCATCAAAAGCACTAACACCCTTGGATAATTGCATTGCTTAAATTTGGATGGTGTCGATAAGGAGGGAAAGTACTGGTACAGCTAAGGCATACTTAAGCATGTCTCTCTGAAGGGCTAAGGGCACGCTGAAGACCGTATCATGAAATGCCCCCCAAAGATGGCCAGGACCAGAGGTGGATTTCAGTAGGTTCTGACCAGTTCTGGAGAACCGGTAGCGGAAATTTTGAGTAGTTCGGAGAACCGGTAGTAAAAATTCTGACTGGCCCTGCCCCCATCTATTCTCTGCCTCCCAGGCCTCAGCTGATTGGGAGGAAATGGAGATTTTGCAGTAACCTTCCCCTGGATTGGGGAGGGAATGGAGATTTTACAGTATCCTTCCCCTGCCACGCCCTCCAAGCCACGCCCACCAAGCCATGCCACGCCCACCAAGCCACACCCACAGAACTGGTAGTAAAAAAAATTGAAACCCACCACTGGCCAGGACATATTTGTGGCATGGTTAAGTGAAGAATGGGGAAAAACCTGTAATCCCCAAGAGCAAACTCAAACTTTATAAAATATGTTAGGGTTTGTCACTGCTCATCTAGAGTAAGGTGGCTGGCTGGTGGGGAATTTTAATGACTGAATTGATCTGAAACAGCCAACAGATGCCAGATGCTTATTAATGAATTTATAGGTAGTATCAGACTGGAACAGCTATAAATCCCATAAATAAACAAGCTCAAGGGATGGGCAGATGTTTCTACTTTGTAGTGAGAAAAGGCCATAAAAGCCTAATTTATATCAAAGCAAATAAACCCATTCTCCCAGCAACCTCTCTGCTTAACTATGGATTATTGAATAAGCCACATTTGTCTAAGCCAATTTAGCTAAGCAAAATCAAATAACCCATATCATTATATAGCGCAATTGCCGTTTTGCTCTGTCTTTTTGCCTGCCAAGGTCTTTTATGCTGGTGGTGGTGACCTCTCATGAAAGGCTCTTTCTTGTTTTGTTTTTCACCCTAACCTCTGGCTTTCCCCTCTTCTTCCTCTTCTCCACAACCGCCTTTCTTGTTCATGGATTGTAGCAAAGTCAACCCTTAAAGACTTCCTTTTGAACACCGCTTAGAATAGCACCAAGTGAAGCGGTTTATAAATTCATAAATAGATAAGGAAAGCCTAGACTCAGAGGGAGTTTGGCCTACTTTCGTATAGGAACAGGCCCAGCCTGAAAGTTGTAAAAGAAACGAAGGGAAGGAAAAGCAGCGCTTGCTTTCTGCTTTCAGGTCTCCTAAAGCAGGGGTCTCCAACCCTGGCAACTTTAAGACTTGTAGACTTCAACTCCCAGAATTCCTCAGCCAGCTGGCTGAGGAATTCTGGGAGTTGAAGTCCACCAGTCTTAAAGTTGCCAAGGTTGGAGAACTCTGTCCTAAAGGGAGTTCAGCCAGCTGTGTCTGAGCTGGTGTGGTCTGACTTCCCGCCCCGCGGGCGGTCTCGGAGGACATTTCCCCCCCCGCCTTCTTCAAGGGATCCGGTGGCCCGGAGCGGCAGAGCATTCGCAGCAGGCAACAGCGGGATGGCCAGGGCGACGCTAGCCCCGCGCTTTCTGTGCCCCTTTTGGCCGCGGACCCCTTGCGCGAGCCCCGCGCGGGTGGCTGCGGGAGGTGTTCTCCGAAGGTTCTTGGCTGCAGCGGCACCTGCTCGCCGCCTAGACCTGCGGGGTATCTATCCGCCCCTCGTCACCCCTTTCACGTCTCAAGGCCGTGTAGATTACGCCCGGTTGCAGGAGAATCTGCGCCTCTACGCCGAAATTCCCTTCCGAGGTAAAGTTTGGACTCTTGAGGGGAGAAGGAGACACGGGGGGAGGCGAGAGCCACCTGGGGCGATCCTGGCTTGGGTGCCACTCTGCCTTACTTTGCTTGGCCAAGTTCTGTGGAATTCGTTACTTATCTAGCTTTTGTGGCTGAATGTGTTCTATGAATCCTGCGGAAAGAAGAGAAAAAAATCGTAGAGTTTCCAGTATGCTTGCTTTTGCCTGCCTAAAAGCAACCAACCACCTTGCATTTCTTTTCCTTTTTGTACAGCAAATGATGTGTCTATGAACAGAGTTTACTACCACATTAAGCCTCTGGGTCACTCACTGTATATAACAGGTTGTGTGACCAGAGACATTGTGGTTATGAGCCCAACTAGTTATGGTTTATTCAGTAAATTCAAATTCTAGTTAAGTAAAGCATGATATATTAACTTGTTCATAAATGGTGAACTCAGGCCATCTGGACAGACATCTGTTAAAAGCACATTTCTGGCATGGAAAATGTTCAGTTTTGGGCAAGAAACCAACACGTTTCACTGTGGAGAAAGTGCCACCAGTAAATTGTAACAGGAAGGCATACACCCGTTATGGCTGAATATTATCCAGAATTTTTTGTTGTTGTTCAGTTGCTAAGTTGTGTCCAACTCTTCGCAACATCATGGACCATAGTACACCAAGGATCTACTGTCTTCCACTGCCTCCTGGAGTTTTTCCAAATTCATGGTCATTTCATCGATGACATTATTAACCATCTCATCCTTACCCTTCTCCTTTTGCCCCACTTTTTCTAGTGTTCTTAGTTTAAGAAAGATTAGAGAAAAAAGAAACTAAATCTTCTTACTTACTTCTTACTAACTTTTCTTATAGGAAGAAGTATAAGAAGTATATAAGTAAGAAGTGCTTTCAAAAGTATAGGAAGGAGAAGCACAGCCAAATTATTTTGTCTTCAAGGACAAGCATAGTTGCCCACCCAGACTTTGGACCTAGCCTACTGTAAATGGAAAATGGAGGAACATGCACTGGATAGCAAATTTTTCCTATCCCTGGGTAATGTTCTACTAACATTAACTAGCACATGACCATATTATATCAATAACAGCTTGTGTGCTTCTTTTTTATTTTTATTTTATTGATTTTCTATTAAATACATTTCTTAGTGCTTAATAAACATCGTGTTGTCTGGGCATTTAATTTGCTTAACAATACAAATTACATTCTTAATCTCCACCCCTTTTTTCCAACCATTGGTAAAATAAATTCCATGTTTGATAATATTCTACATCCTCTTTCTGTTTAATTTTCAATGCCAATCTATCCATTTCTGCACAATCAAGTTGTCGGAAACCATCTTTTACGTTTGGGCCTTCAGGCCTGCCACATCTTCTTCTGTGGGGCTTTCTCTATTGTTTATTCATCTTATAGTTCCATAATGTTAATTATTTGATTCATTAATGACAGTATGTTGCTTTGGAGAATTTTAGTTTAAAAACATAGTAATCCTTGACTTACAACCACAATTGAGCCCCAAATTTCTGCTGTTAAGCAAGACAGTTAAGTGAGCTTTGCCCTATTTTATGACCTTTCTTGCCACAGTTGTTGTGAGTGATTGCAGTTGTTAAGTGAATCTAGCTTCTCCATTGACTTTCCTTGTCAGAAGGTCACAAAAGGTGATCATATGACCCCAGGATATTGCAACTGTCATAAATGCTTGCCAGTTGCCAAGCTTCTGAATTTTGATCACAAAACCGTGGAGATGCTGCAACGGTTGTAAGGATGAAAAATGGCCATAAATCATTTTTTTCAGTGATGATGTAACTTCAAATGGTCACTAAACAAATGGCTGTAGGTCGAGGACTACCTGTATGCATACTTAAAATAAAATCATAGTAGTGGGATATTTTGCTTGATGGAAACATAAATAGCTACTTAGTGTTATCTTCTTATTTCTCTAGGTTTTGTAGTACATGGTTCCAATGGGGAAGCTCCCTACTTGACACAGGAGGAATGCCTGGAAGTAGTGATGCGGGTGAACCAAGCTGTGCCTAAGGAAAAGCTTCTGCTGGTTGGGTCAGGATGTGAATGTGAGCAATAAAAAGGTAGACTAGAGGAGTTGGCCTCTAGCTGACCATACCTTATATAAGGATTCTATGTCTGGTGCCTTATTTGGCCCTCAAGAAGCTCCTAGTATCTCAAGAGCTGTCCTTTGAGTCACCTATATTTCTTCCCTTAGCAACTCACTGCACCATTGAGAAAACAAAACAAATGGCTGACAAGGGTGCTGATGCTGCTCTTGTGGTGACTCCTTGCTACTTCCGTGGAAGCATGACCAGTGCTGCCTTGATCCATCATTACACCCAGGTAAAGAAGTGGGTCACGATATTCTCTGGTTTATATTTATTAGAGATGACTGAAGTGGTCTCAAAGGTATCACATTACACCTTGAGCCAAAAAAGTAAAGCTGACATTATGGCTTAGTATTGTGTATAAACCAGATTAGATGATTGGTACTAAATAAAGTTTTTGAAGGTGTGGTAAGATGATGCTAGGAACGGTGATGGAAGGTTATGTATTCCTTATCTATTACATGTTGTTTGAACTTCAAGGTGTTTTAGAATTCAAACACAATAGAAATTCAGCTATTTTTAAAAAATCTTGATTCAGGTGAAATTTCTTACATTATTTAGTGGCTGATTACAGATAGAAGTACTTTGTCTTGAATTCTTTTACTTGAAGACTGAGAGTTGAACAGAAAGTGAATAATGGGAATTTGCATCCTCCATTCTTTTTCATTATAGAGTTGTGATTAACTTCTCATTATTCATTCTCAAGACACAGAATTTCACAAGTAGTTGAAAAAGCCTTTCTATATCTGTGTCCTCCACATTTGTTGGAATTGCTGCATATAAGATTTGGCCATGTTGGCTGGGAATACTGGGAACTATAATTCCAACATATTTGAAAGATGCCATTTTAGAACAGGCTGAGTTAAACAATTGGTGGATCACAAGGTATTCTTGAAGCCATGCTAATTGCCATAGAAGGACTACAATTCTGAAGTGTGCTGTGGTGAAAGAATGGATATATCACAATTCACCAAAATAATATATTCTGATTATCCACATTCTACTGAGGAAATGCATGTAACAGTTCAGTTGTCCAGATTCTAAATACTAAAGTGCAATAACAAGCTGAATAAAATTTAAGACAGATGCAATTGCAATATCCATGCAGCAGAGGTACATAATTTGTGACCCCGAGAATGTATTTTCTCTGAAAGCCTCAGACATCCTCCAAAAGTTGGCATCAAAGTATAGTATTTATTTTGACAGCTGAGATAAATACTATTAATTAGTTAATTTAATTTAATTATATTTAGTCAATTAAATTCAATGTAGCTTTTATTTTGGCCCTGCCAACTGTTTAAATACAGCCCTTAGCATACCAACTAAAGACTTTAGGATGGTAACCTTGTCTTTGAAAAGAACCATCCTGGCTCTGCAATAATTGGAGATTGCCTTGTATTGCCTGGACATAGGTGAGGGGACCTTGCTGAAGATTGATATTGAAAGAGCAGGTTGTAGTTCACTGGTGGATTGTTTCCCTGTATGCCCACATGCTTTACTACTTTATGTTCCCAGGTTGCTGATGCATCTCCAATCCCTGTGATACTGTACAGTGTTCCAGCCAACACAGGCTTGGAACTGCCCAATGAGGCAGTGGTCAGCCTCGCACAACATCCTAACATAGTGGGGATCAAGGACAGTGATGGCAACGTGAGTGAAATATGACAACCAGGTGCTGCTCTAATGTGATCCCCTCAGGGGATTCTTCTTCACCAAGAAGCAATACTTCTTGGTGTTATGAGAATTTACATATTGGGCATCTTTTGATGTTAAGGAATGAAAGCTTTGGTATTACAGTGGTCTAAGGCACCCTGTTATTAAGCTGGTTATTAAGACCAGCTGCCTGCAATTACTGCAGGTTCGAATCTCGCCAAGGCTCAAGGTCGACTCAGCCTTCCATCCTTTCTAAGGTAGGTAAATTGAGGACCCAGTTGTGGGGGCAATAAGCTGACTTTGTATAAATATACAAAAGGATGAAGGCTATTGCTGAGCACATTGTAAGCCGCCCTGAGTCTCCGGAGAAGGGCGGCATATAAATCAAATTAAAAAAAAAAAAAAAAGCTGTTGTACACATTTTCTCTTAAGAGACCTGAAGATCTGTGAATTGTTCTTTCCTCCTATGAAGAATTAATGTTTAAACTGTTGAAGAAAATACTTTAAAAACATTTTTAGCACAGCCAGATGGCAGTTTCCCATATATTTGATTATCACTTGAACATTAAACTAAGAGTAGAACAACAAAGCAGGTACTTTGTTAAAGTTCACATTACTGTTTTATAGAGGGCACTATACCATATCTAGATTGTGAAGATTCAAGTTCAGATCTCTGTTTCACCAAAAAGCTCACTGGGTGATAACAAAGTTTATTTTACTTATGGGTAAGAATAAACATGGTAATCCCCAGGCGGATTTGTAAAAATCGGGACTCCTTATGCACAGTCACTCAGGCACTTGTCACTTCCCGCCTGGACTACTGCAATGCTCTCTACATGGGGCTCCCCTTGAGGAGCACCCGGAGGCTCCAACTGGTGCAGAATGCAGCCGCGCAGGGGATTATGGGAGCGAGGGGGCGCTCCCATGTGATGCCTCTCCTGCGTGAGCTGCATTGGTTTCCGGTGGTCTTTCGGGTGCGCTTCAAGGTGTTGGTTACCACCTTTAAAGCGCTCCATGGCATAGGCCTGGGTATTTGCGGGACCGCCTTCTGCTGCCAATAGCCTCCCACCGGCCAGTACGCTCCCACAGAGAGGGACTCCTCAGGGTGCCGTCAGCCAGGCAGTCTCGGCTGGCGACCCCCAGGGGGAGGGCCTTCTCTGTGGCAGCACCTGCCCTCTGAACGATTTGCCCCCGGAGATACGCATGATACCAGATCTCCGGGCTTTTCGCCGTGCCCTAAAAACTTTTCTTTTTCACCAAGCAGGGCTGGTGTAACACCCTCCCCCCCGCCTTTTTGAGATGTTAGATTTTTAATTGTCTATGGGTTTTAGTTGGAATGTTTTAAATTTTGGGCCAAAGTTGTGTAATTCTTTTAACAAATTTTAAATTTTGTATTGGGATGTTTTTTATTTTGGCTGTGCACCGCCCTGAGTCCAACAGGAGAAGGGCGGTATATAAATTAAATTAAATAATTAAATTAAATTAAATTAAATTAAATTAAATTAAATTAAATTAAATTAAATTAAATTAAATATTAAATTAAATTAAATTAAATTAAATTAAATTAAATTAAATTAGTGGAAAAATAGGAAACTTTAAAAAGATAACAAACCTTCTTAGAGTAGCCTTCTCCAGATGTTTTGCCTCTAATTCCCATTACCATTTTGGATATGCAGACTGGAGCTGCTGGGATTTTTTAGGACAAAACATCTGGAGAGATCCACATTGTAAAAGGTTTCTTTAGCAAAAACAAGTGACATGAACAGACAATTTTAAAATGTTCATTAAGGTGCCTTGTATTTATGACTTCCTTGGCATGTGTGCTTATGAGTGCAGTATCATCATGAGTGCCCTGTGTTTTTGCTAATGGCACCTTTTGGCATTTTGGTGATTAGTGCTATCTCTTGCTATCAAATCAATCTATGTTTTATCAGATTACACGCCTGGGGCTGCTTGTCCACAAGACACAGAATGAAGACTTCCAGGTACTGGCAGGATCAGCTGGTTTTTTGCTAGCCAGCTATATTGTAGGTAGGTTGTACGATAAATGTTTCAAGATATGGGGAAGTAATACAGAATAGGAAAGCAGCTATTGTAATATTTTTAAAAATATTTAATAGTTGTATGATAATGTAACCGATTGCTAAGAAGCAGTTATTAAGTTAGTATGCTCTAGAATATGCAAGAAAGGCTGTTGGGGTGGATGAAGTATATATGGGAAGATGAATAGTTTATAAGCTGTTTCTGTTGACTCTGAGCTCTGCTGTAGGTGCTACAGGAGGAGTCTGTGCCCTTGCCAATGTACTAGGCAGTCCTGTCTGTCAGCTTGATGATCTTTGCCGTGGTGGAAACTGGGATGAAGCCCGTGAACTGCAGCACCGATTGATTGAGCCAAACATTGCAGTAAGAGCCCTTAAATCTGGGGGAACGTAAACATTTGAAAGTGGAACTATCCTTGTTGGCAAATTTTGGGAAAGAAGGTTAGAATAATTTTAAAAATCCAATATTTTTGTGGCATTCTCGCAGCCAGGAATCAGCCTGATATCCAATCCTATCCACTTGTCAAAATAACCTACTTTGAACTGGAGGCTGTGTGCCCCATACTGTCACATACAATGATAAAGCAATTCTGCTAAATCATTGTCTACTGATCTCCTGCTTTCATTCCAATAATTCGAACTTACCACATTTAAAATTTCTATTTTGCTTTTTTTTAAAAAAACAGCACCACACATTTAGAAGAAAAGATCACAACATTTGAAAAGCCTGTGTTTCATTCACATGGTGTGTTTCCAAAATGAGTCTCTCTCCCCCCTCCAAATTATTACAATTACGAATTTTGAAATACTACTTTCAGATTAATTTTAGGCACAATATTAAAAAAAAATAGCCAGGACTTTTAATTTAAAATCCTGGCTATTTTAATTTTAATGAACCTTTACTAATTTTCCTAGTCTTTCTGTTTTTCATAGTTCAGTGCTAAAATATTCTGGCTGTGTCTAAGGTATTAAAATAAATTTGTGATATCTCTTGTTAAAAGATATTGGACAGAAACATTGGGAATCAACCTTGCATCTGTCAGTTAACGTAGAGGAAAATGTAAATTTAAACCATTGGCCTGAATTAGTAGTAGATTTATACTAACTCCAGATCTTATGTTACCTACTGTAAGTAAAAAAATAACCATTTCCCCCAAAAATAATAATCTACATAGTTTCAGGGAGACTATATTGACTCAAAATGCTGAAATGATACAGATATGAATTCCTTACTTAGGTTTAGGAAAAATTGCAGAGAAATAATTGTCATTACCAATCCTTAGATAGTACACGTCTTCAATCTGTGCCACTTTCTGTTTTCAAAGTGGTGCATGAAAAGAAATTTGTAAACAGTTATTCTGCAATATTAGTCTGATATTAGCCTTTAGAATTTTATATTGTTTGTGTTCCAACAGGTCACCCGGAAATTTGGAGTCCCAGGTCTCAAGCAGGCGATGGAGTGGTTTGGCTACAAAGGAGGCTTTTGTCGTGCCCCTTTGCTCCCATTAACTGAGATACAATTAATGGAACTACGCCATAATTTCACCTCCAATGGCTGGCTCTGAAAGACAGAGGAGTTCTAGCAATGCCTGGAATCTTGCTGCAGCCAGTTACTATCTAATTGGGAAAGGCTCACATGTCTTGCAATTTACTTAAACGCATGCAGCTCATTCAACTCATAATGTACTTATTGGAGCATTGCTATAGCAACAAAACAATGGAGTAAAATCTTCAGAATGGAGCTTTAGATGAGAAAATGCTGTATCTGCATCTCATGATTGATTAGAAGGCCAACATTCCTTTGCCACTTAAAATTTCTCGATTCTACATAGCACACCTATGTCTAGGATATGGTCTTATCTATCTTCTATTCTTTTCCGCATTTTCCTATACCCTGACTAGTTCTGGAATCATAGAATGGTGAAAGGCTAATTCTCTGGATTTGGAAATCAGATGTCCGTAATTTTAATGTCCTGTGTAAAAGATGACATTTCATTCATTTTTATGATTTACTAGGTCAAAATACCATTTGCACTGCTACCTCATGCACAGTAAATTGAGTTTGTTGAATAGTTGTGTGATTCACTGAAAAATTGAACATTCTTGAGATGGTATAAGAATGTGCAATTAGTGAATGTGCCATCAGGTCATTTTTGATTTTTAGTGACTACATAAATTTTCTCCATTACAATCTATCCCTAACTGCTATCTACAGTATATATTTATAGTATTCACTAAAGCTAGATCAGTAAAATATAAGCGTTTTTTAAAAAATATTTCATAACATTGCTGCATAGGTCTGAGTCTTGCTCATAGTCCTCAAGGGCAGAAGTGTTATAGTATGGTATATAAATACATCCTTCAAGATAATTATGCTTCTGTTATTGTCCTTTTTCTGCTGTCTAATGATGGTGCATTATATTTGGAAAAAGAAATGGAGAATTGTTCAATAGTTTTTCTGATGACTATATTTTTAGCTAAAGCATAAACACACTAAGGCTAATTGATGGCACAACTTCTTGTGGTACACCCAGATCCAAAATGACTAGAAGTGGATAATTGTGCCTTTATACTCACAGCCCCAACCAGTGGTGGGCTGCAACTGGTTTTAACAACCGGTTCTGTGAGTGCGTGCTTTGCGTGCTTGCACACCTAACACATGCGCAGCATTCAAAATACAGCAATTTGAAGCTCAGCTGCTTATCTTCTAAAGCAGCCACGGTCAGTAGAACAGCGGAGGCACGGAAATCAGTTGTGCCGCGCAAATCAGCTGAGCCAGAAAGAAAGAAATATAGGATAGGATAGGGCGGGGACAGATGGGCAGGGCCAGCTGATGGTCAGAAGTACCTGTTTGCTAGAACCAGTCCAAACTGGAAGCAGCTCACCACTGGCCCCAACCCCAATAACTATATGGCTGCAGATTAGTGAGACTGGAGCATCAGATTTAATCAAGCTGTTTCATAAAATATTTTATACAATTCCAGCAGCACGCATGGAAACAAAATTGTTATGAAAAATCTCTTCTTTAAGTGGAAAAAGTTGGGGGAGAAATTGAAGTTGTAAATAAGAAAATGCATTGCTTCCTTACAAGTACTTAAGTTTAGTTGAACCAGTTAGTGGAAGCTAACTAATTGTGTCAAAATTTTCTTTAAAAAACATAGACATGAAAAAAAGTAAAGGACTTAACATTTTGCCAGCATTGTAGGTAGTTACAAATACAAAGACCAGCATCAGATGAAGGTTGCTCAAGGGAGCAGTTTTGAGAGTTGTAAGTCAAAGGAGCAAAGGAAAAACGGAAAGGAATAGAATAACATCGTAAAATATTGGAGTAGTTTATCATTATCTATAACTCATTGGCTGCATTCAACACATTCTGCTAAGCTATGATTTAATCTTAATTGTTGGATAAATTACAGCAACTGAATTCATACATTTGCTCAGGCACAAGCAAACAAAATGGCATCTTGACTAAGTGTTGTTCGAACCTACCATTTAAAGCAAATTCATATATTCAAAGATGGTCCATTATAGATGTTGGAAGTACACCTTTTAAAATAACTAGACAACCCATAACCATTGGGTCAATATTTCAGATATGTTTCTTATTAAACTGAACTGAATGACCACAGGAGGAAAAAAGCAGTGGGAGCAGAAGCAACTTCCATCTTCCTGTGGGCTTTCTTATTGGCTTTTTTTTTTGTAGGAAGCTGGCAGGGAGTATTAATGATCACATGACTGCACCAGTTGCCACAACTTCCCCAAATTTCAATCCATGGGAGTCATGGGTCCCAGATTTCGTACACATTCTATAAGTTAGCCCATCTGAGGTATCTTGATTCAAAAATTGTTGCCCTATAATGTACCAGTTCATTCAATTGAACGTTACAATCAAAAATAAGAGTTACAGTAGTATATAAATGTCTATTATTACCTACATATGCAAAATATTGTCTTTTTTTAAAAAAACAGCAGCAGCTTATATTCCAACATTGCAGTGGTTAGATAATGATTTGTCCTGTTTTTATATTCAGTCTAAACAGATATTCTCATTGCAATGGTGGGGAAGCTTTTCAGATTAGTTCCCATTGAATCTTTCAAGGACTGAATGAGTGAGTGATGGAACTAGTGAGTGGAGCCTGTATAGTAATGCTGAAAAGTTTGTGAACCCTTTTATATTTTCTATATGATCTAAAGTGTGACTAGCTCGCCCCATGAGTTCTAAAACTAGATAAAGAACCCAATTAAACAAATGTACAAAATATATATTTACTGTATGTAACAAAATACATTGGTTTAAAGAAAATTATCAAAACCTACCTACAGGTAGTCCTCAATTTACAACAGTATGTTTAGTGTCTGTTCAAAGTTACAACAGCACTGAAAAAAGTGACAAGATCATTTTTCACATTTATGACCATTGCAGCATCCCCATAGTCACGTGATCAAAATTCAGATGCTTGGCACTACTGCATATTAGGCCAGAATAAACACAAGATCTATTCTGGATCTGCATAATTGAATAAGGCTAATCCACTTGCCTCAGTACTGGAGAAAAATAATACACCAAAGTCGAGCTTCAGCAACTCTTTATTTGGCCAAGGCCCTTAGATGGGCAAAGACACAAAGGCACGAGGGTAGCATTGACACACAGACATTCAGTGTGGAGATAGGCTGGTTACAAGGGCTCCAGCATGGCACTTAGGAACACACATTACGTGGGTCAATGCTTGACTTAAGAACACCCCCCTGTTTTAAACAATCCCATGTTTAATTTTAGTGCACAGAAACAAAATGGTTGACAGATAATAAAGTTATTCTTTATTGACCCATTTTAACTCAATTGTTACCCCACTGAGGGATTTGCTATCATCTCTAAAAAATTTAACTTCTATTCCACCTTCCATATCATTGCCCATCTATCTGTACTATACTGTATATTAAGAATGCCCTGCAATCTCCACATTTATAAGTTATTATAAGCTGTTGTGCTAGGTTCCAGTGTTATGTAATGCATTTTCTACAATGGTGTTTCTCAACCTTGGCACCTTTCTGACAACTTCTGGGAGTTGAAGTCCACATATCGTAAAGTTGCCAAGATAGAGAAACACTGTTCTATAAAGATATACAGTATGGCATTATCTGGGAACAGCTGTCTCTTTAGCTTTACAGCATTGTATAAAAGATGCTGTTGCTTATTTTGGATACATATAGGGCTATGCATGCCATTATTCTATGATATTATAATATATTTGACTAGTGATCAGCATCCTGAGATTCATTTTTATTTTAAAGCAAATGTCTAGCCATTAAGGCAGCAAAGTCAGGCTTGAAACATTAATGGAATGTGTGGTAAAATTTCAGAAGCCAAAAGAGGGAAGTGTGGGTGGAGACTAGGAGTATTTGTGTGCAAAGAACTTCCAGTTTTGAAGTAGGAAGGAATTTGCAAAACTTTGCCTTGTCCTATGCCTAGCAGAGGCAAGGCTTTAAAAAGTAATGTATTCCCTTTTTAACATTTGTAAAACGATACAGCTGTATGTATATGGCACTATGGTAGATGAAAACCATGTAACATCTCTGGAGCTTAGTGAATCTCTTCCTACTATGGCCCTTAGTTAAGTGACCTGCATCTCATGTAAGGAAGGGATAATTGTGAAATGCTGTCTGTCACACAAGAAGCTCACAGTGAAAACGGCCTTAGCAAATTGTGTAAAACACAAGGCTAGAATAACGAGTGGAAAGAGATCCTGGATCTATTCTGGAGCCTAAAGCATAAAGTGTAGCAGAACTCAGACATTCTTATTATGCTGATCTGCAAAATTGTTAAAAGTCACATTCAGAAAGTCTAGAATTCTTAATGCCACTCAATATGTTAATTCTTTGCTTTTTGTATTTATTCATCTATATTTATTCATTTAATTTTTATAAAGAAAGGAAGACTGAGCAGTGAGGAATCAATTAGTGGTTTAGGGACATATAAGAAGATAGAAAATTAAGCTAAATGCAAGTTCTTTAATCCTCCTTTGACCACTGGAAACCAACTCAACTGATCATATAACGACAACATTTCAGCTGTGTTAGGTTTGTGGCAAGAAAGATGGATTGTATATTAATGAGCCCCAGTAATTGGGATACCCATTGTGCCCAACTCAGTTGTGGGGTTATAAGATTAGCAATCTGTCTAATGGAGAATGCTTTTGACAAAGGAATTGCTATGATCTTGGATGTGATACTGACAGGAGACATAGGCTTCATAGCTGAGTTTTGGCACCAGTTCACATTATAGGGGCCAAGCTGCTTAAGGAAATGATAAAGGCAAGCAGGGTTCAGTTATAATAGTTTGCATCCTAGAGATGGTATTTGCCTCTGTGAATCTTGTACTCCACACTCTTACCAACCTCTGGGTTAGGCTGCCAGTCATAAGAAAGCCCTGTGTTATGGTAAAATTTATACCCCTTATGCTGTCAAGCTGTGTGCCATCTTGGAGGCACTCTGTGCACGTTGGACCACTGTCTGGCACTTTTCCCGTCGCAAGAGTTTGTTGTTTTCAAAAAAGCCTTCATTACGGGGTATCCCATGAGAGCCATCAGGAAAAGTCAAAAGTCCTGTGGGAGAAAATAGAGCATCATTGTTCAGTAGGAAAGTTGATTTGTGCATGCAGTGCTGTGAAATATGTCTGCATGTATCTCAGAGGATGGTATTTTTGAACGAACTCTCACTTATGCCCTGTTCCATGCTGCCGCAGAGTTCCCTAAATAGATTTAATCCAAGATTATTAGCTTTGCTGCTTAGTTACACCCACAGGACGTATCCTTATCACTCACCAAAACCATCAACCCGTCCACCCTTGAATTCTCCCTCGAAGATCATGTTGTCATAGCGTGTGAAGACTCCAACACCGTTGAATTTTCCCTGCACAAATTCCCCTTCATATCTGCAACAATAACAGGAGTGTGTCTGATTGGACACTGCTATTTCATTTGCAATCACTATAATAAAGTTCTTAAAACATCAGTATTAAATGAAAGGAAAAGAGCCATAGAAGTATTAATGGAATATCTTAAAACGTTCAATGGTCATTCTACAGCCTACCAATGATCTACACTGAAAAAGTATATGACAACAAATATGGGATATTTTTGTTGCACACTTGTATTAAAAGAAAATTCATGCATGCAAAAAGAAGCAACACAGTCACTCTATAAAATTCTTTATCATACCATGGGCAATATGTACTACATATTTATTCTTATTTTCTGAAAATGACTCAGATCATACATGCGGATCCTCTCTTTGAACTAGCTAGCATAGTGCTACTGAACTCATAATCCAGTACTCACCTGGAACCGTCTGCAAAATTGAGCACTCCATAT